CCCACTTTTTATAGGCCCAAAAATTCTTTCACAAAATAATCCATCTTTTTCAGGCTTATTGGTTTTATAATGAAGAGTATAGGGTTTTGTTACCTCCCCAACTGTTTCTCCATTAGGTAGGATTTTTTTTGCCCAAGCACTTATTTGTTCAGAGGAAACTGATCCAATTCGAAGGTGTTGATGTTTATACTGATCAATCATAAAATAAAATTTCGGATTCAGTCCAATTAAACTTCCTTCCTTTGAATCTGAAAGTCTTTCTCAGAGACAAGGAAATGATTCAGTTCCAGAGCCAAAGATCGTAGTTCGCGAACGAGCAATCGAAAAGATTCTGGAGCATCCACAGGTTTCGGTATTGTTCCTCCACTAATTGTAGTTCCAAGTACTTCTTGACGAGCTTTAATATGATCAGATTTATAAGTAAGCATCTCTTGTAAAATATGAGCAACACCGAATCCCTCGAGGGCCCAAACTTCCATTTCGCCTACCCGTTGTCCTCCTTGTTTGGCCCTTCCTTTAAGGGGTTGTTGTGTAACAAGTGCATAAGGTCCACTGGAACGTCCATGTATTTTATCATCAACTTGATGAATTAATTTCAAGATATAAGGCTTTCCTATTATAACGGGCTGTTCAAAAGGATTCCCCGTTCTTCCATCAAATATTCTGCTCTTTCCCGGATACTCGGGTTCAAATATCCATGGATTCGATGTTTCTTTACTGGCCTCATATAATTCAGAAAACACAAGTTTTCTGGAAGCCTCTTGTTCATATCTCTCATCAAAAGGTGCTATTCGATAATGTCTATTTAGCATACTCCCAGCTAATCCGAGCGAACATTCTAATATCTGTCCTACATTCATTCGAGAAGGGACCCCTAATGGATTGAAGACCATATCAACGGGTCTTCCATCTTGCAAATAAGGCATATCCTGTCTAGACAAAATCTTTGAAACGATACCTTTATTTCCATGTCTCCCGGCCACTTTATCACCTACTTTGATTTCACGTTTCTGTGAAATATATATATGAATTGTTTCTGGATTATAGCTAGAATCCGCTTTTTTGTGGAGCCATCTCACATCAATAACTCGGCCCCTACCACCTATAGGTAGTTTTAGACAAGTTTCCTTTGAGGTGGATACCTGAATCCCAAGTATAGCTCGTAATAATCTATCTTCCGGGGCATATGAGGATTCTTTTGCCATTTGAGGCGTTAATTTACCCACTAAAATATCGCCCGTTTCTACCCAAGATCCCAGAATTACAATTCCATTTTTGTCTAAATTTCGGAGTAAATGCGCTTCTAGATGTGGAATTTTATTAGTGATTCTTTCAGGACCATGGCTTGTCACATGAGTCTGAATTTCATATTTCCGTATGTGAAAAGAAGTATAAATATCTTCATAGACCAGACGCTCACTAATGAGTACAGCATCTTCAGAATTGTAACCTTCCCATGGCATATAAGCTACTAATACGTTTTTTCCCAAAGCGAGTTCACCACCAACTGTAGCAGCACCATCTGCTAAAATTTGTCCCTTTTTTACGCATTTACCCTTCTGAACCTGGGATTTTTGATGCATGCAAGTATTTTTGTTGGAACGTTGATATATAATTAATGGAATACTTAGACCATTCCCACTTCCAAATAAAATAATCTTCTCAGTATCATTATAAACGATCTTTCCCTCGTGTTCGGCTATAGCGGGAACTCCCGAATCTAAGGCCACTTGGCGTTCCAATCCAGTTCCAACAATGCACTTTTCGGACCGAGAAAGAGGAACTGCTTGACGTTGCATATTAGAACTCATTAAAGCTCTATTCGCATCATTATGCTCGATAAAAGGAATGAGGGAAGCTCCAATAGAAAAATATTGGAAGGGAAAAATACTTCGAAGATGAACCTGTTCCCATGCAATAGTAAGAAATTCTTGACGGTATCGAGCTGGAACAATCTGCTCCTCCTGAATACCTCGATTCAGTGCTAAAAAATTTCCCGTCGCTACCATATAGTATTCATCTCTACTTGGTGATAAAGAAAGCATTCGTATTCTTTTTGATCTCTCAGAAATTTCATAAAATGGACTTTCTATAGACCCCCAACGACCAATCCTTGCGTGAATTGCCAAGGATCCAATAAGTCCGACATTGATTCCTTCAGAGGTGTCAATTGGACAAATGCGTCCATAGTGACTAGGATGGATATCCCGTATCCGAAAACTAGCAGTTCGCCCCGTCAATCCTCCAGGACCCAAAGAACTCAATTTCCTTCCATGAACTATTTGGGTCAATGGATTGGTTTGATCTAAAACTTGAGATAATGGATGTAATCCAAAAAAAGATTCATAAGTGGTTGTTAATGGCGTTGAAGTCACTAAATTCTGAGGAGTCGGTATCAATTTATATCTAATTGCTCCACATATAGTTCCTATAATTAGATTTTCTAAACGAACGAGAGCCAATCCAAATTGATCTTGTAAGAGATCTGCTACGGAACGAATACGTTTATTTTTCAAATGATTCATATCGTCAAGTGTACCCATTCCAAATTTCATTCCAATCAAATGATCCGCAGCTGTCAATATATCTCGCGGTAACAAAAATGTATTGTTCTCGGGTATATCAATATTCAGCCTTCGGTTCATATTTCGCCGCCCAATTCCTCCTAATTCACATCTTTGTTGAAAAAATTTTTTTTGTAATTCCGTACATAAAGATTCAGGAAATATGGGATCTCCGCCTACACAAGCAAATTGTCGATAAAACTCCAAAATGGCATTTTCTTTTGACCTTATTTTTTTTTCCTCCTTTTCATTGAGGAAAGACAAGAAAATTTCGGGGTAACAAACGTTCTCAAGAATTTCACTTAAATTCGAACCCATAGCTGATGATAGAACTAGAATAGATATTTTCTGTTTCCTACTTACACGAGCCCATATCCTTGCTTTTCTATCAATTTCTAACTCTAATCTTCCTCCCCAATCTGATATTATTGTGCCAGTATAGACTGAAATTCCGTTATGGTCCAATTCTGACCGATAATAGATACCGGGGCTTTGCAATATTTGATTGATTACAATTCTGTATATTCCATTTACTATAAAAGTTCCCAGGGAATTCATTAGAGGAATGTTTCCAATAAAAATAATTTGTTCTTGGATATCCTGACTGTTTTTCCAAATTACTCCCGCGGATATATATAATTCAGAGGAATATGTAAGTGATTCATATACAGCATCTTTTTCTTTTATTGAGGGTTCTACCAATTGATATGTTTCCGCAAATAACTGAAATTCAATTTCTTGATCTGTATCTTCAATTTTTGGAAACTTCAAAAGTTCTTCTGTTAAGCCCCGATCAATGAATCTACAAAACCCTTCAAATTGTATTTGATTCAATCCCGGTAGTGTAGACATTCCTTCATTCCCAACCCCAAGCATTTTTGATTACCCCTTTTTTATTTTATAGAAAATATCCCATGATTTGCTGTCATTCTTCATCGAATCACATGAATATATTTAGCAATAATGGAATTTATGTTCTTTTTACTTTACTGAATCACATGAAATTTTACCTCACTACGTCTATGAAATACGCATTATGAAAAGAGGAATTTTGCTACTCAAATTAGAATTTGCAACAAAACAAACAAATAGACTTTTAGTAGAGTATGATATTACATATTCCAATTCGATTGATACCCCAAAAATAAATTCAGGATTTGATTGGCTCCATGAGAGAAAGATTTTAAAAAGAAAATAATCAGAAAAAATATACAATTTTTTTGAGCCCTTTACCATTTCAAGTGTTCAAAAAAGAATGAAAATTAACAAAGAAGAGAGATATTTTGACCCTTTTTTTTTTTTTTAGAATGAGAGGATTGCAGTGCATAAAAAGACTTGGATTTATGAAACATGCATAGATCTAACTTCAGCTATAGCTATCTATATATGTCTATTACGTTATTGCAGTCCTATTTGTTCGGGACATAATATGTTGTGTTCATTTTTTTTCTATTCATTCATCAATCTATTTCATGAAAAATTGGCAAAAAAATGAAAGTACGAGAATTTATTGAAAATTCCCTGTAATCCATAATTACATAGAAAATACCCAATTATATAATGTGTAACAATGAAAAGTGATATTATGGGGTTGACATATATTAACAGTTCCTGTTATAATGGAAATAGATAAAGATTATAAAAAATATATATATATATAATAATATATATAATAATAATATTGATTTGTTATGTATCAATTTCGATTTTTTTCTCATTAAGAAATTCAGATTCCTGAATTCTTCCGGAATTTGTAGTTAACAGTTGCTATTTGTCCCGAAATTTTTACTTTTTTTTTTTTGACTGAAAAGGTATACGTTGGTTTTTTTGAGAGGAGGATATTCTGATCTATTTTTTTGTATCATTTTGGCGGCATGGCCGAGTGGTAAGGCGGGGGACTGCAAATCCTTTTTCCCCAGTTCAAATCCGGGTGTCGCCTGATCGACAAGAGAATCAAAAAGGGTTTCTTCCATTTTGTTGATACAGAAACTTAGTATTTTTTCCATGTGGAAGCAAGTGTAGGGACAGAGTTCTTGAGACTTGTTTGATTCAAAATTCTACGCATCGCTAGATTTGTTCTCTAAAATGCTTTCAATCTTTGCGTCTCGGATTCAAGGAAAAATGAATTAGAGTAGGGAAATGAAAAGGAATAGATCAATCTTGAAATGAAAGTCTTTTCATTCTACTACTGCTGTAGTGTCCGTCTACTGATTGGGTCTTGAATTAGATTGGATAAGGATAGGTAGGACAGGGAATATAATTCCATTTTTAGTTGGCGAAGGGATTGAAGAAAAACCGTCTATACAAACGTATGTAAAATATATGAACGCTTCTGCATTTTTTCCATATTTGTTAGATTAATGAAATTGAATATCTAATTCGATTTCTTTTTTTTTATTTATTGAATTTTTTTTATTTATTGAATTTCATGATATTCATATTATTTTTTTTTTACTATGAATTTCATTTTCATTTCATCCAATTCAAAAAAAATTCCATTCCATTTGATTTCATTTCCATTCTAAGAAAAAGAAAACTCTTTCTTTTGGGTAATCGATAGTAAAAGAATTTAATAGGCTGTTTTCCAATTGTTTTAGAGAACGAATCGGGATACAATAAGGATTATTAGATCAAATTGAACTAAGAGATGCAAATAAGAGTATGCAAAGGAATCTATCTTGATTCTTTATTTTTTACTTAAATAAAATGAAATGGGGGGGGGGGAAAAAAAAGAAAAATAGGTCTTTGTATTCCAACCTATTAGTATGATTCATTACCTTACTACTTCTAAGGATATTTTTTATTTATGCTGAAAATTTCTCAATTCTACTCCGAATCTGATAAGAACTTGCTAGATGTTCTAATTGGATGTTTCATCAATGGTGTTATGACGGAATGGAATACTTTTTTGACTCTGTACTAGCGATTCCACTATTATTATAAGATATTATCAAATTTTTAGTGAAAAATAAAAACAAAAAGAATACAAGAAAAATTAGTAAACAATAAAAAAAGAATTAATAAAAGAATTTCTTCATATTGATATAGATAGGAGACATAATTTACATGGATATAGTAAGTCTTGCTTGGGCTGCTTTAATGGTAGTTTTTACATTTTCCCTTTCCCTTGTAGTATGGGGAAGAAGTGGACTCTAACGGTAATACTCATTGAGTTAAGGGATCAAACTGTCTCAATTGTTTTCTAGCTGGGTTCTTCCAGTTTTGAACTATTTTAGTTATTTTATTAATACTAATTAATGAAAATTATATCTGGATTTAGAAATTCTATTGTATTCCAGTGGTTTACTATATTCCATGTATAAGAAAGAGAATATTGAAAAAAAAACTCTTTGAATCAACCAAATATATTTAATTGTTGCCATTTTGATGTCCCGGGAATACAGATAATTGGGAAACGGATTACTATTCCAAACCAAATTCTTTTTACTATTTCTATTCAATTAAATCAATTTGAATTTTGGAATACTCAAAAGATTATTTCTTTTTATTTATTAGTTACCGGGATTCTGAAAAGAATCTGAAATCAAAAAATGAAAATAACAAGAATAAAAATTGCGTTGCTTTTTAATTATTTCAGATTGATTGGAACCAATACAAATAGAATAGATTTAGATGAAATCAAGAAAAATGTGGACGCCATGGAATTGACATTCCATATCTATAGATAGATATCCATCTATCCATATGAAAACAAAATTCTAGATTGGTTCCTCCATATTAAACCTCTTTTTTTTTTAGTAAAACATTCTAGTTCTACTGTAATAGATAATATAGTAGAAAGAAATAGATTTGATTTCTTTCTACTATACTAGGATTTAATAGAATTCTGCTGGTTGTAGTCTGATCATTTTCTTAAAAAACAAAAGACCCGAAATAGAAATTATTTTTTCATTTTTTTCTTCAATCATTGCATTGATAAGAAATAAGAAGTCATGTTTCAGTAAAATTTAGTCACTTTGACTTACCGTTTTTACATAAATTATAAGTAAAAAGGCAGTAGGAACTAAAATGAAGAGTGCAGTAGCTATAAATGCGAGAATATTTACTTCCATAATCTCTATGTTTTATTTCTCTTTAATTTCTAATAAATACTTCGGGATTTAATCCCATAGAAATGAAAAATCTTTCGTCACTAAATTCAATGGGATAAATTGGATCTCGATGATATCAAATCGGATCAATATCACGAATAACAATATCTGAGCTATCAAATCAATAATTCATGGTCGAGAATTTCATAGTATAACATCGGAAGATGTTTTATCCATACCAAACCAAATAAGAAAATGACTTGCTGATGCAATCAAAAAGTCCTTTTTCTTTCTTTGTCCGAACCTTTCCCTTAAACTAAAAAAGAAAGAAAAAGGGGGATACCTGTTTGAAATGATATTTTTTTAGTTTTATTCCCTTATCATACACGAAATCAATTGATATTTTTTGGATTTGTATCCATCGGGACTGACGGGACTCGAACCCGCAGCTTCCGCCTTGACAGGGCGGTGCTCTGACCAATTGAACTACAATCCCAGGGAAAAAGTCGTCTAGTATACACACATATTCTTACAATTTCATTCTAACTCTTTGTTTTTCTATTTGAGATTCGAGAACGCCTCTTTTAAAGGCGGACTTCTATATATATATATTCATATTTTTATGGGTCTGCGCTTTAGCGACACGGATGACTCGCAATCCGTTCGTTATTGCCAACTTGATTAAAAAATCAATCAAGGAAACAAAAAAGACTATTTTTTTCTTTTTTGACTTGAACCCTTTCCTTCGACTTTATACTTACAGATCCCAATAGGTGTTTTGCAAAATCCGAATTTGTGGAAAAAAATATGTAAGTAATCTGGAAAAAAGACATAGGACTCAAGATTATAATCTTATGTATGCGAACCCATTGGTGATTTTTAGAGAACACCAAATGGGTTATATCATTTCATGGTGGATCCAGAAATATTTTTGGGCCGAGCTGGATTTGAACCAGCGTAGACATATTGCCAACGAATTTACAGTCCGTCCCCATTAACCGCTCGGGCATCGACCCAGGAAGAATTCATTTTAGTCTTTCTTGATAATCCCTCATCCATTTCCTTTCGTAGTACCCTACCCCCAGGGGAAGTCGAATCCCCGTTGCCTCCTTGAAAGAGAGATGTCCTAAACCGCTAGACGATGGGGGCCTCCTTGCCCGATTTCCATTCTACTATGTTCATAGTATGAACAGTTTTTTGAAATTGTCAATATAATGGAATGATATGATTCGATCAAAAGGATCTTCCCATCTTTCAGAATTCCTTACAATTTTTTGATTCATCCTTTTGATTTCTAAATTGTTCATTCCAATCACCAATCTATAGAATTCAACAAAATAGAAAATAAAACGAAGTAATGCGAAAGAAACCAAAATAAACATAGAAGACTTTGTGGAAAGAATTGATTTGCTGGAACAGGGGGGCATTAACACCTTATTTCTTTCACTTTCATTCAGTGTTAAGAAGATGAAATTGGGTATATTTGTATTTCACACTAAGTTGGGAAATACAAAAATGCGAATGAATCCGGAAATTGAGTAAAAAAGGATGAAGATCAATAAGAATTGAGTTGAGGGACAGGATAGAATCCATTTATCAAAGATTCGGAAATATTGGAATTAGGGGTCCATGTATCAATGAAATGAATTTCGTGTTATGATGAAGATGACTTCAATTCAAATCGGTTTTGAAAAATTTCATTCCTATTTATCAAATCCAATATGAATTAATTCTTTTTTCACTATTAAATCCAATTTTTTGTTCGTTAATGAGTTGCTATGTACAAAAAATAGATCTATGTACATACATCTAAATGTACATATA